AATTATAGGTAGAATTGTGGATTTAGGAACCAAAAGATGAACAGATGCCTTCTGTTTTCTCAGAGAAACAGGCAATATCCTTTGTTTAGAGCATAGGATTGTGGAAAAGATGTAGAAGGTGTGAGGAAAAGGTAGAAAATTGTCATCCTAGCACTCTGGGAGGCAGAGACGGTGGATCCCTTAAGCTCAGGAGTTTGAGACCAGCCTGAGCAAGAGTAAGACCTCATCTCTACTAAAAACAGAAAAACTAACGGGGCATGGTGGCCCATACCTGTAGTCCCAGCTACTTGAGAGGCTGAGGCAAGAGAATTGCTGTAGCCCAAGACTTTGAGGTTTCTGAGAGCTATGATATCAGAGCAGTCTACCCATGGACTGAGTTAGACTGTCTTAAAAAAAGAAAAAAAAAGTAGAAAGTTGGGAATTTGTAGACTGAGGAAGAAAACAATTTGGGCAAGAGGCTGTGTAAGATGGCAAGCTTAAAAACTTTTTTAAAAAAAATAGGGCTGAGTGAGGTGGCTCATGCCTATAATCCTAGCACTCTGGGAGGCCAAAGTGGGTGGATTGCTTGAGCTCATGAGTTTGAGAACAGCCTGAGCAAGAGTGAGACCAGTTTCTAAAAATAGCTGGATGTTGTGGTGGGCACCTGCAGTCCTAGCTACTCGATAGGCTGAGGCAAAAGAATTATGACACCACGGCACTCTACCAAGGGTGACAAAGTGAGACTCTGTCTTAAAAAAAAAGAAAAGAAAAGAAAAGAAATAAAAAAACGAAAAAAATTAAAATTTAAAACATAATAAATTTTTTAAAAAATGTTTTAATAAAGAAAAAGGATGGCAAGCTGGCAGGAGGAGAGAGGTCATACCAGGGTGGACTATGGGATTATAATATTTTACTAATGAGAGGCAAAAATTTAAATTTATATTATTGAAATGTTTTACCTCTACCAACTTCTGCTTTCAAAAGGAAAATAACCATATTGAGTAGCAGTTAAAAATGGAATGAAATAATCAGGCCTCCAACCAAATAGTTCTTTATTATCACAAAGCTACTTTAGCATAACAACTTCATTCCCAAATTACTCTAGTACTAAACAACTGAAACGCAACCGAAAGCCAATCAACCAGTCTGCCCCTGACTAACACACACAAAACAGACCTCTAACATCATTCTACAACTTCCTCCACCAAACAAAACAGGAAGAGTGGTTATGTTTTGCTGATAGTGTTAGATGGTCTGTCACAGAGTTTCCGTTACATTCTGGGTATCAAGTTGGAATTCTATGTGACAGTTACTTATATATATGTGTGTGTGTATATATATATTTTCTACACTGTCATGAGAAGAGTGTATTTCCATTTTTTTAGATGTGTCATTTACACAAGGCATAAAGTATATTTAATAGATGTTTTAAGAAGCTTTGCTATCTGAGGGATATATTGTTAGTGCATTTTCTGCCTCTGATGTTTACTAAATGCCAGCTGCAGCTCTCATCTCAGAGAACTGCTCTGCCCCACCCACTTATCCCATTATTACTTTCAGTTGGGAGATGAAGATGTTCTCTTAAAAAAACAAATTCTTATAAATGAACAAATGTCCAAATAGCTACTTTCTCTCCTACTTAATCTCAAGCTAAATCAGAGAAAAGATTTCAGTACATAAAAAAGTATTCAAACCTGCAGTGACCTTGGTGTTTTTCTCAATGCATAAGTCATTATCACATTTCTTAGTTTCCTAACACATGACATGATTAAACTTAAAATATGCACTTTCTTGTCTTTTTAGAGACAGAGTCTTGCTTTGTTGCCTCTGCTAGAAGCCTAGGTTCCATAGCTTTTATCTGATTTTTGAAAGGGTCTTTAATCACAAAAGGATTTAAAACCACTTGACCAGAGTTTTGGACCATATTAAAAGAGTCGTTGAGCAATACTGAGTGTGATTTGGCAACTAGTAGGTCACTGATAATCTTAAAGAAAATAGATTCTGAGGCCAGGTGCAGTAGCTCACTCCTATAATCCTACACTCTGGGAGGCAGAGGCAGGAGGATTGCTTGAACTCAGGAGTTTGAAATCAGCCTGCTCGAGAGTGAGACCCCATCTATACTAAAAATAGAAAGAAAAAAAAAAACCTAGCCAGGTATGGTGGTGGGCAGCTGTAGTTCTAGCACTCAAGAGACTAAGGCAAGAGGATTTCTCAAGCCCAAGAGTTTGAGGTTGCTGTGAATTATGATGACACCACAGCACTTTACTCAGGGTGGCAGAGTGAGACTCTGTCTCAAACAAACCTAGTAGATTCTTTTATTTTGTTTGAGACAGTCACACTTGGTCACCCTCAGTAAAGTGTGGTAGCGTCATAGCTCACAGCAACCTCAAACTCTTTTTATATATACACACACACATATATATATATTTAATATTTTTTTCGTTTTTTTCAACCTCAAACTCTTGGGTTCAAGCAATCCTCTTGCTTCAGCCTCCCGAGTAGCTGGGACTACAGGCACCCACCACAATGCCCAGCCATTTTTAGAGACAGGGTCTTGCTCTGGCTCAGGCTGATCTCAAACCTGTGAGCTCAGACAATCTACCCCCATCAGCCTCCCAAGTCCTGGGATAATAGGCGTGGGCTACCTTGCCTGGCCCAAACCCAATAGATTCTAATGAATGAAGAAAGCAGGAACCACATCCCCAAGAATTCAGGAGAGAGTGTGTGGTAAGGACGTAGAGGTAGCTAATGTAGACTTTTCCTTCCAGAAATGTATCAGTGAATGAAGGAGATATAAAGTAGTTTTATATCAGTGAAGGAAGGAGATATAAAATAGTTTTAGGAACAGTAAGATCAAGGGCTGAGTTTTGCTTTTGTTTTTGAATAGGAAACACTTGAGCAAATTTCAGAAAAAGAGGTGAAAAGGGAATGATTAATAGAGAAAGTAGGTGGGGGGATGTCTGGATAGTCTGGGTTTATGCTATGGCCCCAACTCCAAAATATTAGTGACTTTTCTGCTTTGCAAATTCTAGGGTAGACTGCTGTTCTCAGCATTGAGACTCATTAATCCAGGCTGCTTCAATCTCTGGGCTCTCTGATCATGACTAAAGGGGAGGGGGAGGACTAGAGAGTGACACAGAGGGATCATACTGCCACCACTTTGAAGTGACACCTGTTACTTCCACTCATGTTTCAATAGTCAGAACTAGTCACATGGCCATGCTTAACTGGGGGGATGGGCAGGCAAGTGTAGAAGAAATATGAAAAGGGATTTGATGATGTATCTCTGCTACATAAAAAGATCAAGAAAAAAGCAAAATAAATTCTGGGAAGTTGTAAGCATCATAGTTCTTGAATATCTACAAATCTTGCCACAAAAACAGGTAGAATAACTTTGATGGCAAAATCTTAAACCCACAAACAAGTTTAGATAGCAAGATGTGAGCCCTCAAGCATATACTTATTACGGGGACACATCATGATAGCAACAAGATTCACATGTGGGAGGAGGCAGAGGGACCCCAAAGAAAACAAACCAAGAAACCAAATTACCAGAAGGGAATTTGTTTTAGTCCACAAAGCAGTTCTAGTTGTGTGTGGAAGCTGACAGGCCTCATCTGAGAGTGGCAGTCAAAACAGGGGAGAAGCTTTGGGCTCCATTTTACAGGTGAACATGAGGCAACTATGAGAAAATAAGATGGTGCTAGAATGTTCGACCCCTTTGAGATGGTGCTACAGTGATCCTTTCTTTTCTCTCTCTCTCTCTTTTTTTTTTTTTTTTTTGTTGTTGTTTAAGATAGAGTCTCAGTTTTGTCACTCTACTAGCTCACAGCAACCTCAAACTCAGGGGCTCAAGTGATCCTCTTGCCTCAGCCTCCCAAGTAGCTGGGACTACAGGTACCTGTCACAGCTCC